AGCAGACAACAACACCTGTAGACAAGCTCACTGAGTTTCATCTGCAAGCTGGTGTAACTGACAGAAGCTGGATCTTGTTTGATTCTGGTGCTTCTGCTCACTGTTGTCCTGAGTGGTTTGCTGATGATTACCCACTGCTTCCCCTGAATGATGATGCTCCGGCACTGCGAAGTATATCGGGTAAAACCCTGGAAATACTGGGTCGAAGAATCGTTCAGCTCGACTGCAATGGTCATTCACTGTGCATCAATTTCTATGTGTGCAAGTCCATACCGTTCCCACTGGTTAGTGTGTCCAGATTACTGCTGCAAGGCTTCTGGACTGTCATGAGCAAAGATTTCATGGCATTGCTGACTGTGAATCAGGATCCTGTCCCGATAGTTCGGCAAGGTACACTGGTTTACCTCAATCCGACTGTGGTTCCATACCACTGTGCTGAGGATGCCAAGCGATGTGTGAAAGATCTGCCGAAACTGTTACAGGAGAGCTTGAGCGAAGATGACATGGACATGCCACTGTCTGGAGTGTGTGATGTGCAAGACTGCAGCATTGATCATGTCTCCAAGATTTATGAATTGTTGGCTACTGCAGTAGACTGTTGGGAGTTAGATGAGCGAAATTTGACATTGACGCGACATCATCACCGATGGCGCATGGGACTGTTCTCCCCAGAGCAGTGTCGTGATCTGCCTGTCCCACTGTCAAGATTCACTGGCGAAAGAGTAACCACCAAACTGTATGGAAGTGGAGTTTCGCCTGTCGAAGTGAGGGATGCTGATTTCCTCAAACTGGCAGACAAGACTGCACAGGACACTGTCCGCTGGAAAGGTAAGTGTGTTTTCAAACTGCGTTACAAACCTGAGTTGCGGCATCAGGGCAAACAGAGCCCCCGACTGCCCGCAGGCAAAACGAAATTCTTTGGTGGCGGTAAAACTGACCGCGTTCCGCCGCGCACTGGCGTGACAACCGCCCCGAACGCCCCTGGTCCCGCGGTCACTGCGTTTTCCCGCCCGCCCACCCCTTCTGCCACTGTTCCCGCCCGCCCGCCCCGCTCTAGGCCTGTTTCGAGCCGAGGAGGCGAGACTGCGGAGGCTGATGCCTGCCTTTCGCGACTGCGAAGCCTAGTGTATCATGGGCCCGAAATGCAGGCTGAACTGGTTCGGCTCTTCAACAGTCCTGATCCTCTAACTGGTCAATCCAGAACGAGTGATTACTGGCTGAAGCTGCCAAGGTACTGGATTCGCATGTTACACACGCCTAGGAGCTGCGCCTTTCATCCTGAGGACTGCGCTACGGCCTTAGATGTGGAGAGAGTGTCAACTGACCAGCTGTGGGCTGATCGTTACACTTACTTCACGACGTCGACTGATGAGTCTCGTATCGACACTGGCTTTCAGGATTTGTGGTCTGACATGATTGAAGCTGATGGAAGTGTCACGAAGTGTGAAGAACCGAGAGCTGATCTGGGTCATACCTGGACTGGCTACTGTCTGTTCGTTCCACTGGAAAGAGCACCAAACCTTGAGGTTCAGGAAATGATTCGAGAGACTGCCTACAAGGCTAAACCTCTCAAAGTTCCTAAGGAACCCACTGAGGCAGAAAGACGTGTCCATGAACTGACACATCTGCCGTTCAGAGATTGGTGCCCACACTGCGTTCAGGCGAAAGGTCGTCACGGACCTTCACTGAAGCAAGTGGATCGACAGCCTGTGATCCAAGTGGATTACTGTTATGTCAGCACGCACAAGTCGCTTCCCTTGAGAACCGTGTTGACTGCCACAGACGTGCAAACTGGCTTTGGCATGGCAGTTGTTGTACCTGACAAGCAAACTGCCAAGAAAGGTGGTGCGTACGCAATGGCTGAGCTGAAGAAGTTTGTGTTTGAAACTGGCAGGACATTTGGTATCCTTCAGTACGACAAGGAAAATCCACTGAAGGACCTAGTTCTGTCGACTGTTAAAGAGCTTGGTGGCATGAGCACACGCGCTGCGCCCACTGCTCACAAGCAGGCGATGGGCAGCGTAGGCCAGATGCAGAGGACGCTGTACGCACAGCTGAGAACTGTCCTTCTGCAGCTTCAAGAAAGCACTGGCGTTGAAGTGACATCTGATCATGCACTGTTCCCGTGGGCAGTGAAGCATGCTCAGTTTTTGCTGAACCGCTATCTTGAACATGCGGATGGCCACACAAGCTACTGGCGTCGTTGGCAGAGAGACTACAATTCAGGACTGTGTTGCTTTGGCGAAGTTGTGCAAGCAAAGTTGACTGGACCGCACGCTGCGCGCAAAGCATTCCCGTCCTGGGTAACTGGCATGTGGCTTGGTCGAGATACTGAAGCAGACGAAGTGATCATCGGAACTGAACATGGAGTCACCAAAGTGAGGACTGTCCGTCGACTGCAACCCTCACTGCAATGGCAAAAGCAGATTGTTCAAATGTTCCGCGCACTGCCTTGGGATCCAAAAGGTGAAGGCAAAGATGCGATCACTGAGTTTGTTTTGCTGCAAAATCTCACAGCCACTGGCAGAGTGAAAGAACCGCCCTGGACTGGCTAGAGAGCCAATGGATGATGTGTTGGAAACACAGCCGCAAACTGCGTCTGAAGAACGTGAAGCTGAAGTCGAACCCTTGAGTTCGCCCACTGGTTCCAAGAGATCAGCTGAAGAAGGAGGCGCTGAGCCTAAGGCAAAACTGGCTCGCCCTGATCCTGAAGCTGACGCTGAGCCACTGGGCAAAGCGCAAAGAATTGCCGCTATAACTGAAGCCTATCAGCATGACTGGTCCTGGGTTGCTTCCGCGACAAGTGCAACTGAGGTTCGCAACAAAGATGGGTCGTCTGTTTCCGTCGAAGTGAACTGTGACGAAGAAGAAGCTGTTGCCGAGGCGAAACTGGCAAACCCCATCATTTGGGATGCCACTGAAGAGTTTCCTGAAGAAGCACAGGCAACTGGCATGAATAAGGAAATGGGATCCATGAAGGACTTCGAAGTGTATACAGAAGTGCCCGTAGAGAACTGCTCAAGTGAGCAAGTGAAGGGTGCCATTGGCGTGAAATGGGTCAAGCGCTGGAAGTCTGACATAGAACTGCGAATGCGTCTCGTAGTTCAAGGCTGCTTCCAGGACTCTCGCCAACTGGACCTGGATTCACTGTTCGCGAGCACACCGTCGTTGGTGACACTGCGTGTGTTGCTGATTTTGGCCCTTGCTCGAAACTGGACGATCACGCTTGCTGATGTGTCAACTGCGTTTTTACACGCAGCAATGACTGACGAAGTGTTCGTCTGGCCGCCAGCTGAGTACTACCCTGACAGGAAAGTACTCTGGCGACTGAATAAGGCAATGTACGGGCTGCATCAAGCGCCTAAACTGTGGCAAGACCATTTTGCCGCTACGATGCAGAAACTGAAGTTCAAGCGCTGCAAGTCCGATGGCAATCTTTACTGTCATGAAAGTGGTTCACTGTTTGTCTTGGCATATGTTGACGATCTACTGATCATTGGAGATGACAAGCTCAAACGGCAGTTTCTTGAAGAACTGCAGAAAGAGCTGATCGTGAAGATCACTGGTGAGTTGGTCGAAGGGACTGAGCACACGTTTCTTGGTCGCCGCTTGCGTCACTGCGGTGATAGCTTTGATGTGTGCATGTCTCCGTCGTATGTTGACAAACTGCTTGAAATGTACAACCTGTCGAAGTGCAATCCTGTTGCCACGACTGGGTCGTCATCCTTGAGACAGTTGATGCCTGAGCCACTGGATAAAGAAGGCCATGAGAAGTATCGCACTGCGGTTGGCAAACTGTGGTTTGCGTTTGTAAGGCCTGATGTTGCATACGCGGTGAAGGAACTGTCACGCGACGTGACTGCTCCCACCACTGAGTCGGTTGGAAAGTTGAAACACCTGTTGAGGTACTTGTCTGGTACCAAACTGTCGGTGTTGAAGCTGAGACCGACGCACCAGCTGTCTGGAGCCACTGTCCCTGTGGATGTAAATGCGTATGTTGACAGTGACTGGGCTGGATGCAACAAGACACGCAAGTCGACTTCTGGTTCGACTGTGAATGTCCTTGGTTGTAATGTTCAAAGCACTGCACGCACGCAATCAACAATCGCACTGTCAAGTGGTGAAGCTGAATTGTATGCAATTGGTCAAGGCACGAGCGAGGCACTGTTCGTTCGCGCGCTGTTGCTGGAGAGTGGACTGACCCGCAAGGTCAATGTTCACGTGTACACTGATTCCACTGCAGGCAAATCTATGGCGACGCGTTTCGGCGCTGGCAAGCGCACTAAGCATGTGGAACTGAGGTTCCTTTATATGCAAGACCTGGTGAAAGCTGGACTGATCAAGGTCCTGAAGGTAGGAACACTGAACAACCCTGCCGATTTGCTCACCAAATATGTCAGCGTTGAAACACTGTCATCACTGAAAGGACGCTTAGGCGTTCATAGTAACCTGTTCTAACTGTTTGCGTGCCCCCTTTGTGTGCGCCCGCGTACTGATGCTCGTGATGATGCGCCGCGATTGATGCACTGTTTGGGGTTGGTTGCAGGACTGTTTTGGTTTGCTGGACGCCTCGTGCCATAGGCACTGCGGATTTACAACACTGCAGCATAAACATAAGCAACACTGCTGTGCTGTGTGCGTTGTGTGTCACTGTCTTGTTCACTGTGCATGTACAAACAGACAAACAAGCACTGCTCCCAAGGAGCACTGGCAAGCAAAGCACTGCTTGTGCTGAGTGTCACTGTGCAGTTGTGCATGTACTGTTGTGCAGAAAGAAGAGACTGAGAGGAGAGAACCACGTTCACTGTTTTCGTCGATTCGAAACGATTTTTCACTGTTTTCTTCGAAGTTGGAAAACTGTCTTTTACATGTGTCATGTGTAGAAAGAAAACTGTACATAGAAGTTTGGGCTGCACTGCTTTGCATGCTGTGTTTTTGAGCGACTCAAAAGTCACTGCCTAACTGCCCTCTGCTTCCTCACTGTTCTGTAGACTGCCGCCATGTCGAATGCCATCGCAAATGTGGCAAGACTGGCCACTGATGAGCCAATGCTCCAGATCACTGAGCTCGAGCAAAGAGCTGTGACGACTCACAATGGCAGACTGGCCACTGAGTTGAGTGGAGCCACACAGCGCATGTCACTGGCAAGTCAGGTGCCTGAAGTGACAATGGCGAACTGGCCCTTCAATGTCAGTGAGAGGCCACTGGATCATATCCAGGTTGAACGGCCGCCGGTACTGTTCCATGGAGGAACTGTCAGGTGGTACTGGGTGTCAAATGCTGAGTATCCAACTGTCGAAGGCTACCCCAACCACTGGCAAAGCTTCGCTGATCTGCGACTGCTGCTCGCAAAGGAACTGGCCAAACTGCGCGATCTGGTGCAGAGAGCGGCAGATGAGAAGGAGCTACTGGAGTGCACTGTGCAGGAAGTGCTCACATCATGTGGAATGCACTGCTTCTTCGCTGCGCAGACTGATGGGACTGAGAGGGTCAGACTGCCTCCAGCTGTCCTCAACCTCCTGTATGACTGCACTGATCTGCTGATGGATGCTGTTCCAGAAACTGTGGATCTCTTTCCATTTGTCAACTGGAGCAGCGAGTATACGAGGGAGGAAGCTGCACTGTTTGGCAGACTGACAAGTGAGAATGGTCACCCAACGAGTGTCTTGGAGACACTGGTGGCCAAGCACTGCTGGATCTGCCTACGCACTGAAGATGCGGAGACATTGCTCACGACTGGGCAATTCTCACTGCATGGGATTTACGCTGGACAGTTCAATCTGTCGATGAGTGCTCGAGCCGCACTGTGGCGCCGTGGACTGTGGCAGACACAGACCGAGGAGTCCACTGACACTGCTGAGCAGACGTGGACACTGGTGGCGTTTCGGTTCACCACTGTGCATTTCATCGATCTGGTCACTGAAGGCACACTGCGGTTTTTCAATCGCAGGTACAGTGATTACATCGTGACCACTGACCCCGGGCTCACTGAGGTGCCGTTCACACTGAATGCGCAAGAGCGAGTGTCCGTTCGTCGTTGGACACTGGTCGACTGGGAGCCGAAGGATCTCTTTGCTCGGTCGACTGCCGCTGACTGGCATCGCAACTGTCGCCACATCGTCATCGGGGCGACTGTTTGGACTGAGGCAACTGCCATCCAGCTGGGAGAGTTCATCACTGATGAGGACCAGCCCACTGGCACATGGAGGCCAGGATTCACTGGTGGTGACAAGGCACAGGCCACTGCTCTGACCACTGTGGTCACTGGCCTGAGGCGAGCCATTGGGACTGACCACCAAGTCTCAATCACTGTCTCGCCAGCCGAGTGAGAGACTGCAGTGAACTGCAGATAGTCGATGGGGGTATCCACTCATGCCATGTCACTGACATTCGACTGGCCTCTGAGCTGGGGACCCTTTCCGACTGAAGATGGAGAGTGACTGCAGAGTCACTGGAGCCCTGAGCCCTTGAAACTGGCTTGGTCGTTGAGTAAGCTGCAACTGCCGACTGTTCACTGGTCTTGGTGACTGTTTTGCAAGCTGCAAAGCTGAAGTGAGACCTAGCAGCACTGTACAGGCCAGCTGCTGATACTGTTCGCAATTTGCAAAAGCACTGGATGAGCCTGATTCGTTACTGCTGCTTTCGTTGAGTGTACTGCGATATGTGATGGTTTTGATTTGATAGTATACTGCTGCCGAGTTTCTCGCAACGGCCGAGACGACTGATGTGAGTCGAACACTGAAGTGTTGACTCAAGGGACTGTGTTAGAATACACTGTTCCCTCTAGAGCCCTGGCAGTATTCACTGCCTGATCTGACCAAAGCTGTCGTCACTGCTTTGGCTCAAGTGCTGAAACAAGTGTGACTGATGAATTGCTCACTGCTGTGAATGTTGCGATACCTGAAAGTGTATCCCAAGCTGCTCCATTGAACTTTTCATGGGAGGCCCGAAGGGAGCCCTGCCTGGAGGGCCCCTGCCTGCAAGGCCCCTGAGGCCCCTGCCTGGGAGGCCCCTGCCTTGGGCGGCCCCTGCCTAAGACCCCTGCCTGGGAGGCCCCTGCCTGACAGGGCTCCTTGCCTTGGGAGGCCCCTGTTTGGAAGCCCCGGTTTGGGGGCCCCGCTGGGAGGCCCTTATCTGGCCTCTTCAAGAGCTTTTCTAAGGGACCTTCAAAGGGTCACCGGACCCCGGCGACCTTTCTTATTTTGGAAGCAATTTAGTGTTGGGAGACCCCGCTTGCTCAAAACTCCGACCCCCCTTGAAGGGGAAAGTTTGCCCCCAAAAACACCCCAATGAGGGGGACCCCAGCATCGGCCCGGGCCCCAGTTAAAAATGCGATTTTTTAGTACTCAAGCGACGGTTCTGGGTGGGCTCTCGTTTTCTGCATTTTTGCTCAAAACCGAGCCTTCACTGAGTCCAGCCAAAAACACCCCAAATGAGGGGGTCAAGCAAGACGCAGCATCACCAAGGACGAAGGCGGCAGCCAACCCAATCCCAAACCTTTGACTTTTTGGCCCTCCCAGAAGCCCTCGAATGATGGACATCTAAGCCCAACATTAGAAATGGCGAAAGCCCAAACCTTTGATTTCACGCCCTTCCAAGCAAGTTTTCCAAACCCCCGCCCAGCACGCAGCATCGCCGAGGGCGAAGGCGGCAGCCAGCCCAAGCCCAAACCTCCAGCAGCCCTCGATTGATAGATATCTCCCTTGCAATGCCTAAGGGCTGCAACTTCAGGGTAGTTGATCTGCATCGATGCCGAGCTTTTAACCCAGCCAATGGACAAGAGAAAAATAACAAAAGCACGATCAGAGTTCAAAAAGAACCCTAAACCCGTAAAGGTTAAGGCGAGGGTGGAGCGCCAGCGGGGGTGGGCTTATGCAAGTCGGGGCGCGCGCCTGGGTGCTTTTAGCACCAGCGCGCCCACTCATTGAGACACCCTAAACCCTAAACCCTAGACCCTAGAGCCTAAACCCTAAACCCTAAAACCCTAAAACCCTAAAACCCTAAAACCCTAAACCCTAAACCCCAAACCCCAAACCCCAAACCCTAAACCCTAAACCCTAAACCCTAAACCCCAAACCCTAAACCCCAAACCCCCAAACCCCCAAACCCTTAAACCCTAAACCCCAAACCCTAAACCCTAAACCCCAGAGAGGCTCCTCTCTGTGCGGCTGTCGCGCGGTGCAGCTCCCGGGTTGGAACGGCTTTGGAAAGTCTGGGCCAACCTTTGGGAGTGGTAGTGAAGGGTTTGGGGTTTAGGGTTTGGGGTTTAGGGTTTAGGGTTTAGGGTTTAGGGTTAGGGTTTAGGGTTTTAGGGTTTTAGGGTTTTAGGGTTTTAGGGTTTTAGTGGTTTAGGGTCTTAGGGTTTTAGGGCTTTAGGGTTTTGGGGTTTTAGGGTTTTAGGGTTTTAGGGTCTTAGGGTTTTAGGGTTTTAGGGTTTTAGGGTTTTAGGGTTTAGGGTGTGGGGTTTTAGGGTTTAGGGTTTTAGGGTGTTAGGGTTGTAGGGTTTAGGGTTTAGGGTGTGGGGTTTTAGGGTTTTGGGGTTTTAGGGTTTTAGGGTTTAGGGTTTAGGGCTTTAGGGTTTTTGGGTTTAGGGTTTAGGGTTTAGGGTTTAGGGTTTAGGGTTTTAGGGTTTAGGGTTTAGGGTTTAGGGTTTCAGGGTTTTGGGTTTTACGGGTTTGGGTTTTAGGTTTAGAGTTGTGCGGCGTAGGGCTTAGGGTTGTGGGGTATGGAGTTTGGGTTTTAGGGTTTAGAATTTAAGGATTGTGGGTTGTAGGTTTGAAGGTCCAGAGGCTTGGGCCTTGAGGGCAAACCGCTCCACCCCAAAGACCACCAGAAGTGCCGGGCCACAAGGCCAACACCTCCGCTTCTGCCGCACCGGCGTGGAGGGACACCCTGGGCGACTCTTGCAGAAGATTTAGGGTTTAGGGTTTAGGGTGCAGGCTTTAGGGTCCAGGGTTTAGGGTTTAGGGGTTAGGGTTTAGGGTTTAGGGTTTAGGGTTTAGGGTTCTGTAGGTGTTTCGGGTTTAGGGTGTGGTGGCCGGACTAAGGCACTGATGGCTTGCCCGGCTTCTTGGGTTGACGATCTTCGCAACTTGCTTCTGGCATGTCTTCAGTTGGGATAGTTCCCAAAATCGGGGGGTCTGCATGGTCGACGTGGCCGGTGCCCCGGATGTAGACAGTTCAGCACTCCTGCCCCGATGATTGTAGGGAACCAAAAGAGTGCAAACCCTCCCCTGCAATTCAGTTCTCCAGCCCGATAGGCAATCTGTCTTGCTGGCTCTTCGTAGGAATGAACCATATACCATCCGTTAAAGGGCGTGTGTGTATATATACATATCTATGCATACATATATACATACACACATAGAGGGATATAAGGTGCCTTATTTCCTCATCCCCGGTTTTACTGAACCTCAAAAACAGCCAAGGGCATGATAAACCCTAAACCCTAAACCACAAACCCTAAAGCCAAGGGGCGGGTCCAAGTGGATGGCGAACCGACTCTTCTCGCCCAGGGTGCCTCGGTTGCCAACGTCGATGCTTGGGCGGTGGCCCTAAACCCCGAGAAACCCCGAAGAAACCCTCAAGAAACCCCCTAAGAAACCCTTAGAAACCCCCTAAGAAACCCCCTAAGAAACCCCCCATAGTCCCTAGCAACCCCGAAGAAACCCTTAGAAACCCTCTAAGAAACCCCCCCTAAAAACCCTAATTGACGCGTAAGATGCTGGGTTCGACTTTGGCCCTCGCTGATGGGGTGGGTTTAGGGTTTAGGGTTTTAGGGTTTAGGGTTTAGGGTTTAGGGTTTAGGGTTTAGGGTTTAGGGTTTAGGGTTTAGGGTTTAGGGTTTAGGGTTTAGGGTTTAGGGTTTAGGGTTTAGGGTTTAGGGTTTAGGGTGCTGGGTCTCGGGCTTGGGGGCTGGGAGTTCCGAGGCCATCTGCATTTGCTTCTAAGGATCCGCAGAGTAAACCAAAACGTGAGGGAGCGGATAGGGGGCTGGCTCCAGGCGCCTAAACCCTAAACCCTAAACCCTAAACCCTAAAACCCGAAACCCTAAACCCTAAACCCTAAACCCTAAACCCTAAACCCTAAACCCAAAGCCCCTGTATGCTTACGACCCTCGGTATGAACCGTGCAAGCTCCACCAACCAGGCGGCACCGGAGGCTGTCGCACTCCAGCAGCAGGGGACTCGACCGGTACTCCTCCAGCTCTCCTCGGCCGGTAACAGTTTAGGGTTTAGGGTTTAGGGGTTTAGGGTTTAGGGTTTAGGGTTTAGGGTTTAGGGTTTAGGGTTTAGGGTTTAGGGTTTAGGGTTTAGGGTTTAGGGTTTAGGGTTTAGGGTTTAGGGTTTGGGGTTTGGGGTTTGGGGCTTAGGGTTTTGGGTTTAGGGTTTAGGACAGGATTCGGGGGACCCTTGGGGATATAGACCCTCTGCGCAAGGTCCCTGTTTGAGAGAGCCAGAGGAAGGTGAAGAAGTGGCTCCACCCAGGCGCGCTGAAATTCTGGCTGAACATGGACAGTGCTCAGTCATGTACTCCACATGACACCTACTGCAGGTGGACCAAGGAATCTAATTCAACCCTAAACCCTAAACCCTAAACCCTAAACCCTAAACCCTAAACCCTAAACCCTAAACCCTAAACCCTAAACCTGTAGGGTCTCTGCACAAGCCCTTGACACCCAGCCTCAGGTGAAAACCCTCTTGAGCCCGCAGCGGGCGAAACCCAACAGCCGAAACCCTCTGAAACATATTCCCGAAGATGATCCTCTTAATCCCAATAAGGGAACATACGAATATCCCAAATGGCCTACCCAGCTTATATCCCTAAACCCTAAACCGAAACCCCCAACCCCCAACCCTCAACCCTCAGCCCTCGGCCCTCAGCCCTCAACCCTCAGCCCTCAACCCTCAGCCCTCAACCCTCAACCCTAAACCCTCAACGCTAAACCCTGAACCCTACCCAGCTTATAACCCATATCAGCACCCCTGGGGCAAGCTTCCCATCGCCGTCAGGCTGTGCCGCATCAACTCCTGACACGCCCGAACACGCCCTCAGGGTTCGGAAGCCCTCTAAGGGTGTAGAGGCTTTCTTGGCGGCTTGCTAGGGCTTGAGCTTTCGGGTTTCGGGTTTCGGGTTTCGGGTTTCGGGTTTCGGGTTTCGGGTTTCGGGTTTCGGGTTTAGGGTTTAGGGTTTAGGGTTTGGGGTTTAGGGTTTAGGGTTTAGGGTTTAGGGTTTAGGGTTTAGGGTTTAGGGTTTAGGGTTTAGGGGTCAGACGAGGCTGCCCACATACCACTATCAGAGATCTTGATGCTCTGTACATGCCCCCCTAGGTACTGGGTGAAGCGCTTGAGCCCGAAAGATCCCTACACATACGTACATACCTACATCCACACATAGTATAGGGGCCTGAATAATCAGAAATGGGGTTTTGGGGAGGGGGATAGCATAATTACAAAGGGACCCTAAGGAAGTATCCATCAGCGATTGTTCCGACCCCTATATGGGTGGTTGTCAAAATGATGATCCCATTTGGGATACCCTAAATGTTAGGTGCCATATGATAATGGGGATAAAAAAAGGGACCATCAAACCCACAACCCTAAACCCTAAACCCTAAACCCTAAACCCTAAACCCTAAACCCTTCAAACGCCTCGGCGCGGTGGCCGCGCAGGATCCACATGGCCACATCCTCCGCGCGCAGGAGCACCTGGGAGATCCTCGGACGATGATCCGTTGCTTTCTTAAGGGGGGGAAGCCTTTGAGCGTGAGGGGGTCCCTAAACCCTGAACCCGGTAACTCGGTAACCCTAAACCCTAAACCCTAAACCCAAAAGCCTCGAAATCCTAAACCCCCCAAAGAGGCGCCCTAATCGCTTCGAGTCCGCCTACCAGAAAGAGGCGGCAGATGTGCTCACACTGCCACTCCGGGTTTCAGTATGGGGTTCTTAAGGGCTCGGGGGAGTTCAAGGGGGATAGGTACCAGGGAATCTTAGGGAAGCTTAGGGAGTTTTTGGGAGTAGCATACCCCCTCCTTAGGAACCCCCCTTCCCTTAAGAACCCGATAGTTTCAAGGCGTCTGGACAGTTCTGAGCCCAGGAGCACACGCTCACAGGGACCCTCGAGCGTGACGAGGCTCCTGCGCACCGGGGCAATTTCGTAAAGCTAGGCCCGAAACCCTAAACCCCAAACCCCAAACCCCTATAACCCCCAACCCCTACCCCCTAAACCCGAACCCCTACACCCACAACCCCAAACCCTATAACCCCTAAACCCTAAACCCCAAAACCCGAACTGAAAGCTTCAACCGAAGTACAAGGCCATCTGACTTCAGCTGCTTTCAATGACCTTCTTAGGGTTTAGGGTTGAGGGCTTAGGGTTTAGGGTTGAGGGCTCCTCCCCGAATCGTCGTGGGGATCTCGCTGTGGGTGGCAGTCCACGTGCAGCTGCAAAGCCAGGACCCCTGGCAGCCACTTGGGCTCTTCAACGCTCGGCTTCCGGTTTAGGGCTTAGGGTTCAGGGTTTAGGGTCTAGGGTTAGGGTTTAGGGTTTTAGGGTTTAGGGTTTTAGGGTTTAGGGTTTGGGGTTTAGGGTTTAGGGTTTGGGGTGTAGGGTTCAGGGGTCAGGGTGTAGACTCAGGATCTCAGAGCCACTCAGCACAACCGCTCCAATTTCAGACGACCCTCAGCCCTAAAACCTCAACCCTGAACCCTAAAACGGTTTAGGGTTTAGGGTTCAGGGTTCAGGGTTTAGGGTTTAGGGTTTAGGGTTTAGGGTTTAGGGTTTAGGGTTTAGGGTTTAGGGTTTAGGGTTTAGGGTTTAGGGTTTAGGGTTGCCCCAAAGCACCCGCACCTTCAACGCAGAAAGAAACCTGAGCCCCCTAAAACCCTAAAGCCTCAAGCCCCCCGCGGAAAAAAACTTGAGCACCTCGACAGTCTCCTAAACCCTAAAACCCTAAAACCCTAGAACCCTAAAACCCTAAAACCCTAAAACCCTTAGAACCCTAAAACCCTAGAACCCTAAAGCCCGAAAAACCCTAAAAACCCTAAAACCCTAAAACCCTAAAACCCTAAAACCCTAAAACCCTAAAAACCCTAAAACCCTGAAACCCTAAAACCGTAAAACCCTAAAACCCTAAAACCATAAAACCCTGAAACCCTAAACCCTAAACCCTGAACCCCAATCCCTCCTGGCCTTGCAGCGGCAGAGCTTCGCTCTCCTCCTCTGTCCGGGAGCCCTAACCCCTTCAGGTTGAGGGCTTAGGGGTGTGGGTTTGGGGTGTGGAGGGCCTTAGGGTTTAGGGTTTAGGGTTTAGGGTTTAGGGCTTAGGGTTTAGGGTTTAGGGTTTAGGGTGTTAGGGTTTTCGGGTGTTAGGGTTTTCGGGTTCGGGATGTATAGGGTTTATGCCCAAGAGAGTCCTTTTCCAGGCAGCTGCTACGCTTCGACTGGAGGACGGGGAGGAAGATGGTGACGGGAGCCTCGGAAAGTTTTAGGGCCCATAAGGGGCTATAGTTGCACGTGGGTAACAGAGCTTAGGGGCCGTACACCCGCATAGGATTTTTTTGGGGCACAGGGTAGATGAACCCAATGTTAGGGTTCGTTGGGGCCTCCAAGATAAGCACTGACGTCGTCAACTTATGCTTCCCAAGAGTAGCCCTTTAAGGGATTCTGCAGGGGAAATACTGGATTCACTACCCTAAACCCTAAACCCTAAACCCTAAACCCTAAACCCTAAACCCTAAGAGCTTCCCTACGTCGGACTGTTGGGGTTTCAGGGTTTTCCAACGCGAGGGGAAGGAGGGCTTAGGGTTAAGGCTTCAGGATCTTCAGCCCTCTGAGCATGCTGAGGGTTTAGAGTTTAGGGTTTAGGGCTTAGGGTTTAGGGTTTAGGGTTTAGGGTTTAGGGTTTAGGGTTTAGGGTTGAGGGTTTAGGGCTTAGGGCTTAGGGTTTAGGGTTTAGGGTTTAGGGTTTAGGGTTTAGGGTTTAGGGTTTAGGGTTTAGGGTCTTGCTGGATTTGTGCCATCTACAACTTCTGGGGAGGGCTTCGAAAGCCTCGATGTGCATATGCAGCGCAAACAAACCTTTTCTGGTGTGCTGTCTGTGGCAAGCGGGGTCCCATGCGGTTGAGGGTTTAGGGTTTAGGGTTCAGGGTTTAGGGTTTAGGGTGAAGGGTTTGGCGCGCCAAAAACACGAGGGCCCCATGGTAACAGGGAAAATCAACAAGCAAAAGTGCAGCTTCGAGCTCGGATCAAACGCTTGTGTTCTCTTGGGGTTCCCATAAAAAGAGAGCCCGAATGAATATTCGATCAAAATAAAAAAATAAAGGCGGACCCTAACCTTCAACTGGAAAAGAAAAGGCATTTGTCAGAGGACCCGGACGGGCTATGCTCGAACCAGCTGCAATAGAAGCCCTACACAGCCACCCTAAGCCCTAAACCCTAAACCCTAAACCCTAAGCCTTAAACCCTAAGCCCTAAACCCTAAGCCCTAAGCACTAAGCCCTACGAGCCCGGCGACTCCCAGCGCTTTGATCTGAAGGTCTCGATGGCAGCTGGGAACCTGAGTGAGGGTCTTCTGGGGTTTAGGGTTTCGGGTTTAGGGTTTAGGATTTAGGGTTTAGGGTAGTTTAGAGCTTAGGGTTTAGGGTTTAGGGTAAAGGCATCAGAAACTGCTCTCCCGCTCCTCTGCGGTTACTAAGGCTGGGCCAAGGGGCCGGGGGCCTCTCCGCAGACAGCCTTTCCGCCCGCTTGATGATGGCGATGATCCTCTCCGCAACGGCGCTCTCTTCTTCATCTTCGTAGGGAGGTTTGGTTCTTGGGGGCCCCCACATCCGCCGGCCCAATATGTGTATATACAATACATATATATATATATACATATATATCCACACACATATGTATATGCATATGCGTGTATATATATATATATATACACACATACGATCTTAGTATCTGCATCCCGGGGGAGGGAATGATGTAGCTCACAACCCCCCCCCCGAATGATGTAGCTCACAACCCCCCCCACCCCGCCCCACACCCCACCCCGCCCCCCCCCCGCCCCCAAACCCTAAACCCTAAACCATAAATCCCAGAAAGAGGAGAGCATGTCTTGAGGCCGCGGCTGCTGCAGGCAGCTGTCTCGGATCACCCGCGACTGGGATCCCGCATCATCCTACACCAGGGGAAGGAGGGGTGTAGGGTTTGGGGGTGTAGGGATTTAGGGGTTTGCGGGTTTAGGGGTTTGAGTGTGTAAGTGCTGAAGGGTTTAAGCCTTGAGGACTTCAAGGATTTGCGGGGTTTCGGGTTTGAGGGTTTCAGGGTTTGGGGTTCAGGGTTTAGGGTTAAGGCTTCATTCGAGGCTATGGGGTTGGGCTGGAAAAAATTAGAGTATCGTCTATCTATCCCCCTCTACGGGAGTATGGCAGTCAACCATGAAAAAACCCCAAGCCCCAAACCCCCTTAGCCCCTCAACCCCCAAACCCTAAACCCTAAACCCTTATCCTGAAAAACCCTAAGCCCTAAACCCTAAACCCCAATCCAGGGGGGAGCCAGGAAGCAAGCCGAATTCACTCACGCCCCCCGCCCTCCGCCTGCGTGGAGTCGGAGGTTGAAGAGGAGGTGTCGGAGTCCGACCTCCGACGAGCCGGAGGTTTGGGGCTTAGGGTTTAGGGTTTAGGGTTTTAGGGGTTTTAGGAGGGGTTTAGGGTTTAGGGGTTTTAGGGGCTTTAGGGGTTTTACCTTTAGGGGCTTTAGGGGCTTTAGGCGTTTTCGGGGCTTTAGGAGTGTTAGGGGTTTTAGAGGTTTTGGGGTTTTCGGGGTTTTTGGGGTTTTAGGGGGTTTAGGGGCTTTAGGGGTTTTAGGGGTTTTAGGGGTTTTAGGGGCTTTAGGGGTTTTAGGTGTTTTAGGGGGTTTAGGGTGCTTAGGGTGTTTTAGAGGGTTTAGGGGTTTTAGTGGTTTTAGTGGTTTAGGGTTGTTTAGAGTTTGGGGCTTAGCCTAAGATCCGGCAAGTCACGCATCAGCCACGTCCCCGTCGTCCTGCGAAAAAGGGGAAACAGAGAAGGGAAAGAGGCCGGATTGAAGAGCCATAAGGATTTATGGGGGTTTAGGGTTTAGGGTTTAGGGTTTAGGGTTTAGGGTTTAGGGTTTAGGGTTTAGGGTTTAGGGTTTAGGGTCTAGGGTCTAGGGTCTAGGGTTTAGGGTAATGCCCATATACCATGCACTAAGGAAGCTGGGAGTATGACGCTCCCTGACAACAAGAAGCCAGAGAGAGAGAGAGAGAGAGAGAGAAAGAGCGATGGTGGTGGGCCAGGATGAGTAGAGGCTCTTGCACTTCACTTCTAAACCCTAAATCCTAAACCCTAAGCCCGAAGCCCTAAACCCGAAACTTCCATGGACATCCATGGATGCCGGTGTACGGAGATGGCTCACTGCGCAAGCTACTCGAAGAATTCATCCCGATGATCTCAGGACACAAGAACTTTACCCAAGAGAAACGTGTTGCGCATGAGAGATCAGGGGTAGCACCATGGGAGCTCTCTCATGTGCTGCTCCCTCTCCCCCCTCCCCCTCCGAAGTCTCCCTTTTGTTCTCTCTCCCTCTCTCTCTCTCTCTCCTCCTCCTCCTCTTCTTTGTATTCTCCTTCTCCTTCTTCTTCTTGTTCTCCTTCTTCTGCTTCTGCAGGGCT